CGGAGTACGACAACCTCAAGAAGGCGTACACGAGCACCAAGAACTCGACGGTTGAGCACGACAGCTACGAGCCTACGCGTGACACTATCCTGTCGTGCCCCAAGAACATCTCGAGCGAACTGCCGCCCACGCCCAAGGTCCCCGTTCTCGAGTGCACGATCACGCAGCCAGTGTGCAACGGCGTGAAGGCCAACAGCTACGAGCACTTCTCACCCAGCACCGCTGTAGGTGAGAAGCGGAAACCGTCGAACGAAGAGAACGCTGACACCGCTGCCGCCGTCACGGACGCCACGGCGGGAAGCAGCGGCGCTAGCGCGACGGCTTCAGCCGCAGCACTCGTCTTGTCCGTGGCCACGGTTGCCGCCACTGCCCTGTCCGTCTTCTAGAGCCTTCGGACTGGTACGCGAGAGCCTTTCGTTAAGCGGAAGTCGTCCATTAATGTGCATAACGTGGTTGAAACAACGTGCTAAAGTGTACAATTAAACAAAAACGTCAGTAACTAAAAGTCTGATACCATCGCCTGTCCCTTTCTAAGAGCCTTTCCGGAAATGATAACAACTTGGCTTTCCTTCAGTGTTAAAGTTACCGAGATGGCGTATAGCTCTCGTATCCGTGCTGTTTGTGGTGCTCTTGCGCTGTATATTGCCAGTGTTGGCTCTCCGGTTGATGCGTGGCTTCCTCCGATCATCACCAAGGGTAACAAGTTCTTTGATTCGGAGTCGGGACTTGAATTCCGACTGAAAGGAATGGCCTACTACCCCCGACCCAACAGTGGAGAAATGGCCGATGTCAGCAATTACGACTGGGCTGCGGATGAACATGAAGCTGTATGGAAACCACACTTAGAGGTGATGAAGGACCTCGGTGTCAACACGATTCGTTTGTACTCGATTGATCCGAGTCTATCGCATGACAAGTTCATGTGTGCATGCTCGGAAGCAGGTATTTATGTGCTGGTTGGTCTCACAGCCCCGTAAGTAGAGCGGTTCTATTGATGTTAAAATCGAGTTTTAACGTTGTTACCGTTTCACAGATGCGAAAACTGCTCCATCTTGGACTACGTACCGCCTAAATGCTACCCTGACGACCTGTTCACGCGCGGTCAAATGGTTTATAACGCTTTCGCAGTCTATGATAACACACTCGGATTCAGCGTTGGCAATGAAAATAACCTCCAAGTCGAGAATGGCGCCGATGGAACCACGACTGCTCCGTGTGTTAAAGCGTTTTTACGTGATATGAGGAGTTATGCAGCTAGCTGCACAAGATCTGTGCGTCAGGTTCCACTTGGTCTCGATATCGCAGACATCCCTCCTCGTGAGCAGTGGATTTCGTACTACGACTGTCCGGTAGACGACGACGAGAACACGCGCGCTGAATGGTAAGCGTTATTTGAGGACAATTGTTGGTCATTAGTGTTCTAATATTCTCTTTGGTTAGGATGGGATTCAACCCGTACGTGGAATGCGACCCCACTACCCATACGAAATACTCGCAATCTACGGGTCTGAACAAGTTGATGGCCGAATATGCCGAGGTGGGGTACGCGCGTCCTTTAATGTTTGGTGAATTCGGCTGCAATAAGGGCGAAAACACCATCGGTGGTTACGAGAACCAGCGCACATTCTACGACGTAAGTTTTATTTACGCTTTTTGCATTAATTCTATCGGATAATTGATAGTGTTTTGTTTCCTGATATAGGCAAAATGGATGAATGAGGAGAAGGAGATGACGGATGAAATTGTAGGTGGGAACGTGTTTGAGTTCTCCACAGAGATCGCCAATTTAGTGAACAGCTCAGCTGTGACCAAGTCCGGGGATGCCGGTAAATACGGCGTTGGATACTTCCAACCGGAAGATTGCGACAACGACAACGTTCTTTGCGAATTCACGCCTTATCCGGAGTACGAAAATCTTAAGAAGGCGTACGCTACCACGAAAGCTTCTACCGTTGAGCACGACAGCTATACACCTACGCGTGATACAATTCTGAGCTGTCCGAAAAACATGTCAACTGAATTGCCACCGACTCCAGAAGGTAAGATGTGCTACAATATACAACATGGATACTGTCGTTAGCCTAACCAATGTTTGTGTTACGTCTGACTCAGTGACGATTTTGGAGTGTTCGGTCGCACAACCCGTCTGCAACGGCAAGAAGGCGAACTCGTATCAACACGAAGACTCGTCTACAGAGGTCGGTGACAAGCGGAAACCATCAAATGAAGAAGCTGCGGCGATAACAAGCGCTGCTAACACCATCCCCGTATTAACAGCGCTCGCTTCCGCGGGGGTAACACTCATTCTATCCTCGCTCTAGAAATATTAACTGGACACGAATACCATGAAAAAGATCGATGATCTTTGACTAGAGTAGAGTCAATTTTGCTCACAATACTGTTTTATATTGTTACGAACACCATCGCAATTTTGTTACAAAGCATACAGATGAAAATTAGATATGACCCCAATGTAGATCTCAGGGAACT